CAGAGAGAGTACGTCTGGTTGGGACGAACCGCATTTTTTTTCTTCAGCGAGAGTACGTCTCGGTTGGGATGAACCGCATCCCATGTTTGGGAAGGGACCTATCTGAGCGGCGCGGCGAGCGAGACTGCGTTGGCTTGCCGCCGCTTATCTTACTGCACCCTCCCCCCTCGTGCTAAATGCACGCAGCGGTGAGGTCACAAGAGTAGCGGGACGCGAATAGGAACACGGCCGACACGATGGATGTTGGACACGAGTACACACCTTTATATGGAGAGTCGCGTGCTGGTCACTTCCCCAATGCTTGCGCCGTGTCCCGTCCCGCCCTTTTCTAAACTGCCGCCGCTACTGCGTTAGGCGGCTGCTGCTGTCCTTCCGTTGCTTCACGCGCTCTGTAGCTGTCACACGTTACCCGACTTTGCTACAGCCCCTGCGTGGACTCGATCACGGAATGACACCCCCAACTATAGACTAATAATTCCAAACACCGTGACCCTGGGTTTCCGGTAGAAAATGAAGCCAAATTCTAATTCGACTGTTACAAAATAAACACCAGTTTATTCTATCTGCTTCGACGAACAAACCTTCCTATTGTTATTTCCCGCATTTTGAAAGTAGCTGAATATGATACGGCGGTAGGCGGGTTCAAACAAACAAACCCGGTTTTTTCTTCCCCCCAAAGCAGACAACATCATTCTCTACATACATACGTACATGCTATTATACGTCGACGCCAACGTGAAGTGAAAAAAAAGTGGCAATGAACTGTCCTCGGCAGACGTTGGGAGATTGTGGCCTTTACGAAGAAGGTGTAGCTGATCTCCACATTGAGTGGTAACGGTGATTTTATTGTTGTAACACCGAGGAGGAAGAATGAATGACTCCATCCCTATATTGATTGAAAAACGTCAGTGCCCCCCTTGTTGTTGTTGTTGTTGTTGTTGTTGTTGTTGTTGTTGTTGTTGTTGTCTTGGCACTAAAAACCGTCCCGTCGCTAAAAAATCACTTCCCTGCGAACGCTCGTAGTTCGTTTCGATCCAACTGACGACGCGGATGCCTTCCTTCCGTGGTAACAGTCAACTATGCATACACATCATAAATAAATATGGATCCCCAAGTTGTTGTTTTTTTCATCGCGGTTCGCCCCCCTGAGCAGCACAACCAGGTAGTACTTATTGGATAGGACCCATCCTTTCCTCCAAAATAGTAGCAGACAGACGCACGCATGCATGCATGAGGAAGAGGGGCGAACGGCCACATGAAGACCGCAGGCTGCCAGATGGAGTGACGGGCCGCAGAGAGAAGTGCTTCATTGATCACATGTAATGTCGGAAAACAATGAATAGACCGCTACGTGTCGTCAACAACGTAGTAAAAACGGCCATGGTTTGTCAGATCGATCGCCGATGATCTCCGGAAGAAGAGAAAGAGAGTCGACGTGTCGAACGTCGGGGGGGGTTAAGCCTCCATAGGTTTGGGGCTCGAGAGCAAAGACGTCATCCGAAGATAATAAATAATTGCAACATCCACCCACCGCGGCTGCATGCTAGCAACGGAGTAACAAGCTGCAGAGCGGTGAGACTCTGACTGAGAGGAAGTTTGAGTGATGTTCCCCTTGTCCCTCGTGTGAATCGAGTCGCTGCACTCCAAACATGCGTGAAAAAACAAGAACATTTGTTTTCTGCGGTACTTTCTGATTTCTTGCTTAGTTCTGGGAAAACATACATAAATACGAGTGTCTCTACAATAGGCTGGCTTAGAAATCGGCCCAACGAGACATTCGGTTAAAAAAATCCACAACAGTTTCTCCTACGCAAATATTATCATCGTCGTCGCCGAATCAACCGACATCGACCAAGAACAATCTTGTTTCTTTCTCCTCTCCGCCGGAACTCTCGAAAATTCACAAACCAAACAGTTCCTATTCTCAGGTATTAAGTAACACACCAACACTAATACTAGCAGTACACGCCATCGGTATATCCACCCTCATGAGTAAAAAGTCGCTCGCCGCTTGTAGCAGCACACGCTGCCGCCACCACCGCCGAAGATATAAAGACAGCCCCCGGCTCTCCCCACCACTACATAATGCTACCTTACTCTGCTACCCTTCCCCTTCCACGTACAAGTTATGGTACACCCGAAGCACAACAGCTTGCGTTTTTTTTTGCTCTCCCTCCCCTCTCGCCTGCACTACACTCGGAAAAAAATGCGCCTCCTGACACCGCCACAGCGGCTATCTGCCAGCGTCGCCCGCACCCTCTATATGCTGCCCCTCCCTCCCTCCCACGAAGCGATGCGCCCGCCTATGCAATAAAATCCTCGACGTCCCTCCCAGTGAAGGGGTGCTCAAGCCCCCGGTGCTTCTTCAACCATCTCGCCTTAAAACCCGCATCATTTAGTCTATAAAAAAACAAGGAGAAATAAACATCTACCCTGCTGGGGGGGGAGAGCTTTTTCAATAGCGTATACACCTCCAGGGCGCGATCGCTGCTGCTGCTGCTGCTGCTGCTGCTGTTGCTGCTCCCACACCAAATTCGTACCGGACACGCAGCAGCAGCAGCAGATGCAGCAGCAGACGCAACACTTCAAAGTTGCGCCGACCTATTTAGTGGGACCTCGATTGGTCAAAGCCTCGCCGAGCGAAAGGCGTAAGAAGCACAACGACCCTCTCCTCCCACCGCCCAAAACTCAGCCCAATCCAAAAGCCCCCATTCGGGCAAAAAGTAGGAAGTAGCGATCGGCCATCGGTCCCGTGGGAAACAATGCTGCTCCGTCCTCTCGAGTCTGTGGTCTAACCGCTAAGGCATGCAAGACATGAGTACGCCCCCCACCACCCTCAACGGAAATTCTACTCTTCTCGTCAAGAAAAGCCCCGTCCCGTCACGTGTGTACCATCGAGTAGACAGCATCGAAAGTCGCCGAGGATTTCCTTTTCGTCATCATCCGTGGCGGCTACAAAAAAAAAACGCATCAGACGCAAAGGGACGCATCATACAGCAGGTAGCGCTCGCACACTATAGATGGCACTTCGTTCCAATAATCGAAAACAGACGAAGCTACAATGACGCGACCGAAACGCATCCATCCAACCTCGTAGCGCTAACCCCACGCCGCACAATCCCCCCCCCTCCCGCCCACCCACCCAGCGCGCGCGCTCAAGTTTCTGTTGCGCACGAAACCGACGTGCTCGCTCCGCCCCCGCTATGTGGAACACTGTCAGGGGCTACGGTGATTACCACCGCCCCCTCCCCTCCCCCCCCCTCCCCGCCAACCCCTCACGTGCGTGAAAACAAGAACAAGAAAATCTGGAAACGAATCCTCCGACCAAGACTCGTGATACAATCAATTACTACATGAACGGTGTGTCACGCAAGCGCGGACGGGCCCATGGTAAGCAGAGTGAGAGAACGATACCGGTTGGTGTGGGCGTCGTCCAGCACCGGCCAAAAATATACATCTCTCCCGTCACCGCACCACCAAAGCCCGCTGCTCCTCTCTGTACTTCGACAATACTTCCCAAGTAGTAGACAAAAGCGTCTACACGTCAACCAGCAGCCGTACGAACCGGAAAAAGAAGCGCCCAAGAAGCCTCGCGGGGAAGCAGGGAGCGAACAGCCTACGACCCCTCGGTAGAAAAACAAAGCGAAAAGAATCAAATCTACGCCCTCACTGCCGCCATCGCACCACCTTGCCACCGCACGCGGCAGCGGCGGCGGCGGCGGCGTTCATACACGCAGACCGACGCTGCTTGGTGTACGGCGGTGTTGGTGCGTACGGTAATCTCTAGATACACAATGTGAGCCAGAAAACACGTTCTACCACAAGAAATTACATAAGAAAGACGACCTGACACATACACTATCACGAACAATACCCAAGCGACCTATATAGGATGATGCCTCAAGGGGGAGGGCGGGGCGGGGGGGCACGCGAAATCTTACGCGTCCCCCCCGCCTCGCCCTCCCCCCCCC